TTGTTGAAATTATCTCCCAGGCTTGTCCTTGGTTTCTGACAGGAGGCTTTCTCAATAACAGTGATTGGGATTTGGTGAAGCAGGATCTCCAAAAGTTGTTGAGAGACCAGGGTCCGGATAGAGTCCTGATTGCTACTTTCTCTCTATGGAGATTGGTTAAGGATGCTCTTTTAACTGACAAAGTAAAGATTAAGAAACAACTTGCCAAGTGCAAGCAAGCCCTCAGTGAGGTTCAGGAGGAGCAGATGGCTGCGTCTTTAAAGGACGAAGGTCCCTCGGAAGACCTAAATGGTAAAGCAAAGAGGCGCCTTCAGGTCCCCGGTTCAGAAAAGTGTGATGAGGATCTTAATTCTCTCTCTCTCTGAGGAGGAGGAATTGGAAAGAGAGATAGAGGAACTAGAGGGTCGATTGAGGAAGTCAACTTTGAAGGCACCTTCGGCCCCGATCGCTGTTGCGCTCCCTCCTTATAATCCTGATTGGGATGAGGACAACCCCAGAAGGCGCTGGGGGGTTCAGTGGCAGCCTAAGACGGTCCAAACTTTTCCGGTGATTGAAAACTTGGGTGCCAATGGACAACCAGCCAGAGCGCACGTTCCTTTAGCCTTTAAGGATATTAAACAACTAAAGGAGGCAGTTACTAATTACGGACCCCATGCCCCCTTCACATTTGACTCTTTTCGAGTCTTTCTCTGCCAATCAACTGACACCTAGTGACCTAGTGATTGGCAACAGCTTTGCAGGGCTGTGTTGTCCGGAGGGGATTTTTTGTTGTGGAAAAGTGAAAATCAAGAGAGGTGTCCAAGTTAGCCCTAGTCAATCAGGACGCCGGCTTCCCACGGCGTAACCTCGAAATGTTAATAGGATCAGGACAGTATGCTATCATAAATCAGCAAATTAATTATGATTCTGGGGTCTATGCTCAGATAGCCACAGCAGCCATTGAGGCCTGGAAGGATCTACCTGTTTCAAATGCTGAAACAAAAATTTTATATTGCTCAAGGACCCTCTGAGCCTTATTCTGACTTCATAGACCCTGCTGACTGGAGCCTTTGGCCCTTTGCTGGAGGGAAATGTGGGACTGATACTGGGAAGGGGCAGCACTCTACATAAAGGGCTCAGAATTCTTACAGGTGTGGTTGATGGTGATTACCACGGGGAGTTAAAAATTGTTGCCGAGGCTACCCAAGGGATCATTATTATTCCTCCCGGAGAACACATAGCACAATTATTGCTGCTGTTGGCGGCGTCTCTACCCAGCCACGCCCTACAGGCAGCCCGGGGTAATGGCAGTTTTGGTTCTACCGGCACCTCTCAAACCTTTGGGTAGCACACTTGGACTCCTGACCACAGTTAACCATTAAAATACAGGATAAAATCTTCAAGGGGATATTAGATTCAGGAGCTGATGTCTCTGTTATCTCTAAGAGACAATGGCCATCTGCTTGGCCTCTCCAAGATCCCTCAGCTGTATTATAGGGGATTGGGCAGACGAGACCAGAAAAAGTGCCTCCTTTCTAAAATGGAGAAATGAGGAAGGGCACAGTGGTTATTTTCAGCCTTACGTAGTGGCTGGACTCCCCACAAACCTTTGGGGAAGGGATCTACTTCAACAAATGGGAGCTATCCTCACCACTCAGACTCTAAAAGGGAGTAATAAATTTGTTAATTACATGATGTTAGATATGGGATGGCTTCCCAGAAAAGGACTGGGGAAAAGACATGAGGGAAGGGTAACGCCTGTGGACCCTACAGAAGAAATTACCATAAGTGGAGGAGATCGGAGGGGGTTAGGAAATTTATCCTAGGGGCCACTGAAATGCGGCCATGTCCTCTATCTATTACTTGGTTATCAGATGACCCTGTGTGGATAGAACAGTGGCCCCTAACTAAGGACAAATTGCAGGCTGCGACCCTTCTGGTTCAGGAACAGCTTAGGGTGGGGCATGTAGTGCCTTCCACTTCCCCCTGGAACACTCCTATTTTTGTCATAAGAAAATGGAGGCTTCTCCAAGACCTGCAGGCTATTAATAGTACCATGCAGCCCATGGGACCTTACAGCCAGGACTACCCTTCCCCATGGCTATCCCTAAAGATTGGCATCTTATTATTTTGGACCTAAAAGATTGCTTCTTTTCTATTCCCCTGGCCCCCCAGGATTGCAAACATTTTGCTTTCTCTTTACCTTCAATAAATTTTAGGGAACCCTATCAGCAGTTTGAATGGACTGTCTTACCTCAAGGAATGGACAATAGCCCTACTATGTCAGTACTTTATAGCAAAAATTCTGCAACCCTTTAGGCAACAATTCCCAAACTTTTACCTCGTCCATTATATGGATGATATATTGTTGGCAGGACCTGATAGGAAAGCACTTTTCCAGTCTTATGAAGTCCTCCAGTCCCTGTTAAAGGGGGCCGCGGACTGATTATAGCCCCAGAGAAGGTGCAGATTCAGTATCCTTATAACTACCTAGGATATACTATTAACAAGGTAGGGATCACTCCCCAGAGGCCTCAATTTCAGGTAAACCAGCTCAGAACCCTGCACCAATGGCAGACATTTCTGGGGGAAATCCAATGGCTACGGCCTTCCCTCCATGTCCCTACTGGTGAACTTAAACCCCTGTATGACCTTTTGAAAGGAGATCCCTCACCCACCTCCCCGAGAAAACCTACTCCAGAAGCCTTGAAGGCTCTTAGATTGACACAGACAGCCTTACAAGAGATGCAGGTGATGCAGGTGGACTACTCCCAGTCCTTGTTATTCATTGTTCTGTCATCCAAACTCACCCCGACCGGGGTCTTTTGGCAGACTGGTCCTATTTATTGGGTTCACTTACCTGCATCCCCCTCCCGGGTCTTGATACCTTTCCATAATCTGGTAATACAATCAGTTTGGAAAGCAAAATATCTAGGAGATGCTTTGTTTGGGAAAACCTTTGATGTTCTCATATTACCATATAATCAAGACATTCTTTCTAAATTAAGACAGGAACATGATCTCTGGTGTCTTTTCTTCTGTAGTTTCATGGGACAGGTTGACAATCACTACCCTAAAAGCAGGTTCCTTGAAAGTCTAAAGACATGTCCAATAATTTTCCCAAAGATCCTAAAAGAGGATCCTCTCCTGGGGGCACAAACTGTCTTTACTGACGGGGCCAAAAATGGGTTTGCTGTCGTTTCAGATGGGACCCAAGTCATTCGCAAGAAAGTGGCAGATTGTTCGGCCCAAAAGGCGGAGGTTGCAGCCTTGATATTGGCCTTATAGACCTATAGCTCAGTGCCCCTTAATGTTTTCACAGACAGTCTCTATATCACCAGGCTCGCCTCCACAATTGAGACGGCACCTTATATTGGAAAATAATCCACTATCATGGATCAACTACAAACAGTGCAGCTTCTTATATGGGCTAGGGCAGACCCCCTCTTCATAGGTCACATTAGAAGTCATTCCGGACTTCCAGGTCCCCTAGTGGTGGGCAACGCCATGGCAGACGCTGCCACACATGCCACTAACCTTGTAGATACAATAACTGAGTATGATAAGGCCCTATAACTTCATAATAAATTTCACCTAAATGCACAAACTTTGCACTTCCGCTCAGAATGTTCCCGGGATCAAGCCTTAAAAATTGTCTCCCTATGCCCTACTTGTGCACCTTTTATTCATTCCCCTTCTCTGGGTATTAACCCAAGGGACCTCCAACCAAATGACATCTGGCAAACTGATGTAACTCATATCCCTAGTTTTGGGAAACTGTCCTTTGTGCATGTCAGTATAGACACGTTCTCTGGTTTTATCTCTGCTACTTTACATTCAGGAAAGAAGGCTAAGGATGTGATACAGCACTATATACAAACCTTTTTTTTATGGGAACCCCTCAATGTATAAAAACAGATAATGGTCCAGCTTATATTAGTCAAACCTTCCAAAAATTTTGCTCACAGTGGGATATTATTCACAAAACAGGAATCCCATATAACCCCCAAGGACAGGCCATTGTTGAAAGGGCCCATCAACATCTTAAAACCTATTTGCAAAAAACAAAAGAGGAGGAGATATACCAGAGTTGTCAGGGACCACATGCACTATTAAATATAACTCTATTCACTTTAAATTTTTTGCTCACAGACGCTGAAGGCCGTACAGCGGCACAGCGTCACTTTTCCCCTCCCACTATGCAAAAGGCACAGATAATGTGGAAGGATCTATCTACAGGGAATTGGCAACCCCCTGGCCCACTCTTGGCTAGAGTGAGAGGAGCTGTATGTGTCTTCCCTCCAGGGATGGAAAAACCCATTTGGGTCCCGGAACGCTGCATGAGACCAGTGGACGCAGCAGACTCGGGAAGGAGCAACGACCCTGGGACTTCAGGTTCGGCCATTTTCGCTTCTCCAAAGGAGTGACAGAATGAGTTTTGTGGGTTGGATCTTCCTAATAACAGTCTTGGTATGCAGGCCTGTGGATGCAGGAATGGGTTCCCCACCAGGTAATATCTACCAGCATCTTTTTGGGACCCCCTGCGAGTGCAAGGGAGGGATTTGGAATCAAGCCCCCAGTAGCTGGATTCAGGCGGCCGATTGTGTAACCAGGGTAGCCTACCTCCGGGCTGAAGTTCATCAACAAATTGGGGGATTTTACCACCCTAAGTGGGTATGCATGAGGAAGCCAAAAATTATCCTCCCTGGCCCCGCAAATATCCTCAGCAACTGCTCCACAACTTGCACTTATACCTCAGCAGTCCATGTCTCTTGCTATGAGATGGCCTCGATTTGTGTACACGAGGGATGACAGTATTTTGAGGCCAGATTGACCAAAGTTGGCAAGGGGTATGCGGGAGCAGGGACTCTTCATATCACTCCGTTTCTTTTTGGCCAGGGGGGAATTGACTCCTATCTTCAGTTGGCTGGGTGCCAGGGTCAAATCGGTAAGCCCTCCTGTTGGCCCACTGAAGCCCCCACAGGGATCTCTGACGTGGGGGGCATGGATTCTGTTAAACATCTTCAAATCATCAGGCTTTTGAAACCACAGGTCCCTGACCTCATATACCACCCCTTGGTGCTGCCTAAGTCTCAGCTCCCAGATCTGGATGCCAATATGTGGGATATCTTAAAAACCACCCTTTTCTTACTTAACAACTCCAATCCCACACTTGCTAACGATTGCTGGCTCTGCATGACAACAGGGGTGGTTATGCCCATAGTGGTCCCTATTAATGTCACCATGCATAGTGATGATACTTGCCAGCCCGGATTGCCTTTCAAGGTCCAGCCCATGGGTGTCTTTACAATATGCCTTCTGGGTATGATGCAAAACAATACCTATGATGTGGATGTTGGAGTGACCTCCTTTGGGAACTGCTCGATGGTGAAGAATTATTCCTTACCCACTCCAGCCCTCTGTCCCCCTAATGGAACTGTTTTTATGTGTGGGGAAAATTCTGCCTTCCCTCGACTCTCTACAAATTGGACAGGTGTCTGTGTTCTCACCCTGCTCCTCCCTGACATAACCATTGTCCCTGGGGATGAGCCCCTGCCCATCCCCAGCCTAGACACTCTAGTGAGAAGACACAGGCAAGCTATACAGGCTCTACCGTTACTTGCCACACTGGGGATAAAGGCTGCTGTGGGCACAGGCACAGCTGGACTGGGTACAGCGATACATTCTTATTGCCATCTATCTCAGCAGCTTATAGATGATGTGCAGACCCTATCTGGCACTATTAGGGACTTACAAGACCAAATTGACTCTTTGGCAGAAGTGGTCCTCCAAAATAGGCGAGGCCTAGACTTACTGACTGCCAATCAGGGGGGAATCTGTTTAGCCTTAGGAGAAAGGTGCTGCTTCTATGCCAATAAATTGGGCATAGTTTGCACTAAAATCAAGGAGCTTCAAAAGACCTAGAGAAAAGGAGAAAAGAATTATTTGAGAACCCTCTTTGGACTGGGATAAATGGGTTCCTGCCCTACTTTCTTCCCCTCCTGGAGCCCTTACTGGGTCTTCTTTTGATTGCGACCTTGGGACCTTGTGTTGCAAATAGGATAACTTAATTCATTAAGGACCAGATTAACATTTTGACCTCCAAGCCAATACAGGTTCACTACAAATGCCTGGAGATGGACGACTCCGCCCACGAGGTGTACTTACACGACCCATCCGGAGATGAGATGTAACTGGACAGGAGCCAATACCCGAGCCCTCCTATGTATGCTTGCTTTTTCCCAGGTCCCTAATTACCCTGCCGACTTGGTGCCGTCATCCAAGACCCTTATGTTCAGAAAGCTCCCTGGTCATAGCTATTCCACTGGCAAAGATGATGACTGGAATCTGCAGTTGTGTCCTGCTGGCCATGACATCCTAACTGAAAAGTGTCCGTTTATGTAGGACAAGAGCTGATCTTGTAGTACTCAGTGACGAGCAACTTCCACACTTGCACTGCAACCTAAGCCAGGGGAATGGGGCCTCCCCAGAGACGGGTAAGCAGTGCAGGAGCGGTGGACGACCTAAGACAGGGGCTACTTGATTCCCATTGACATGCAAAAAACAAAAAAGGGGGACTTGCTGGTAGCAGGCCCGCCTGGCCCCTGGGGACTCAACCCCCAGTTTTTTGTTCTGCATGTTAATGTGGCCAGCTCACAAGGCCGTGATGTGGGCTTACGGTTTCCTGTTTATCTGCCTCGAGCATATGTGTCTCTTGGGAACATCTTGACCTGTTCGAGCCTCCTGATAGGGGACGGTGATGGTGGTGGTAACCCAAGGATGCAGTTATTACTCTTCCCTCCTCACTTTTGAGTGATTTCCCGCAACTGTTAAAAAAAGATATACAAGGGGAACAAATTTGGCAATAAAGCAGCGCATGCTTCCTCCTGGATGAAGAACCTTGGTGTCCTGTGTATTTCTTAACCCCGCCGTCCCTCACTGGACTCGGCTCCATTAGCTAGACGTGGCAGCCGCTTTTCTTCTGCTCCTTTTCTGAAAGAAAAGGGTGCTAAGGGAAACCTTGACACTTCAGTACTAAGTAATATCAAGAAAGTGTGTGAATTCTATACCTCAGAACCAGGAGCTCATAAGGAAGAGCCCAGTTTGGTGTGGAGTCAGCTGGAAAGTTTACTGCAATCAGAGTGAAGTGGTCACAGGGACACCAAGTGAGAAGGAAGAAGACAAAGAGCCATGAAGAAACATGTCCAAATAGATGGAGTAGCTTGTGTATAGTGATTGAAAAAGAAACCAAACATCATGTCTTCTGACTTTTCACAGAAGACTAGCTTGCTGTGTGTGGAGAGTAGAGCCCCGCCTCCAGTATTATGGACTCACAAGAGGGTATAGGTGCCTGCTTAGCAGGGGCTAAGCCTCTGTGGTATGCAGATAGATGAATAGACCCCAGACCCCACTAACCTCATTCCTGCTCCTGGACTAGATGCTCCACTGACTAGAGAGAGATGTGGGACCCTCCTGGAAAGGCAACATGATGTCCTGTGTGGTTATTGTGGGATCCTAAAGGCCTGTATGCATAGGCCACTTATAATTCCTTTTTATATTTGCACTTAGAGGATGGGAGATCAGTAAAAGAAGAAAAGATCCTTGCAAGAATACCACTGTACCTCTGGTTGTTATGATCACTCCCAGTTGTACAAATGCCATTGGTTGCTGAGTGCTTACTTCCAGCTTTGGGGTTCTTTGGTTTGCTGTCAGGTAAGTGAGGAGATGTGGGAACATCAAGTGTGTGCTCTCTTCGGCCAGGGTGTCCTGGGCCTATGGCAGGAGTTTGAACTTATTAGAGTGTGTGAGCAGTGTTCTCCCTTTGCCTAAATGTGAGCCTAGCTCCTTTAGTTGGCGAACTTTCTCAGGTGGTGGCCTGAAGAGGGAATTCATTTTGGTTTCAAAGAAAGACAGGGGAACAAAGAAGAGGCCTGTCCAGAAGCATTTCTGGAGGACCAACATGTGCTTCAGAGTTGCCACAGAAACCTGATGTCATTATGGCAACCATGGTGACTGTGGTACAATTCTGAAAGAGGAGCTGGTGTGCTGAGAAGAGCAGGGCCTCACCACCAGGTGCTTGGACTCAGAGGGTGTGGATACCCTATCATGGGTGCTAAGCCTCCCAGGGTGTGGAAAGAGGAAAGGATACCAGACCCAAGTCACCTTATTCCTGCTCTAGGATGAGAAACACAGAGAGAGAGACTGAGAGAGGGAGAGTGCTAGGCCTGATGAGTTCAGCATCAACTTCTGTGGCAGATGTGGATGGGAGAGGCAGTGCCCAGCCATTAAACAGATCAGTCTTTTTAAAGTAACATTTTAAAGTTTACACCCAGAGTAAATTCAGGGGACCTTCAGGAATTCATTTAAAATTAAAAAGACTATGATGTGAAATAATAAATCAGAGACCCAAAGGCAGTTTGGTACAAACAGAAGGCAAAAAAAGAAGAAAAAGCCTTTCATTGACTATTTTAAATTTTTGTTTTTGCTTTTGTTACATTTTGATTTGTTATTTTGAATACATACTAATAAAAAATGATAGGCATTTATGCTTTTGTACAGATACCTATTTGTCTATTTTTAGCTTTTAGCATTTAATTCAGTTAGCTTTATCCTTTTTTCCTATTTCATGCTTTATAATTTTTTATAAGTAGTATTATTTTGTATGTGGGGGCGCTGGAGATTGAACTCAGGGCTTTATGCATGCGAGGCAAGCACTCTACCACCTGAGCTATATCTCCAGACCCTCATAGTTTTTTTTCCCAATTTTTATTTTTCTATTATTTGGAAATTAAGTCATTGATTAGTATAAGATGGATTGACTTCACATTGACTGTTTCACAACTCTTTATCTTAGTTTATAATTCCTTCTTCTTGCCAACAGAGAAACTCTACTCAAATGCCCTTCTCAGAAACTTAGAAATCACAAACAAGTTGGAAGCCTTAGTGCAAGCACAGGAGGAAAAAAATTGTAGGAAAATGAAAGGTCTAAAAGATATGCAGGACATCATCATGTGCATCTCAGCAGAGGAGGAATGACAGAGATTGTCTCTGGGCCTGTCTGAAGCTGAGATAGCCAAAAACTGCCAATTACACTGAGATGCATTAATAGATAACAGATCCATAAACATATCTTTAATACCATGGCACACCAAGTGGAGTTCTCACACCTATCCTGAACATGATACCGTAGGGCAGCAGGAAGCACTTCCTCTTAAAATCCACAAGGACCGTCTACATAAAAGTTCAAAGATTAGTTCACAAATTTTAAAATCCAGTTTCAGACCCTTGAAATCACCCCAGTTTTCTTCCTGTTCACAATGGAATAAATACTGAAGCTAACTGCAGATGAAAAATTAAATGAAACACCTCCTTCTTAAGCAACAAGTGGTAACAAAAGAAAAGGGATTCAAAAAAATCTGAAGCAAAAGTAAAATAAGAATACACTGAAACTTATGGAATACAGTAAAGGAGGAAAAAAACCCAAAAAACAAAAGCAAGATGATAACAGTGAAACTTTACAATAAGGATGAAGAAAATTTGGATCAAGTAACAACACATCTGAAAAGGAAAACTGCCAACTAAAGACAACAGAATCAAAAAGAAGGAGAGAAAAAATGAGAACTAGAGCAGAAAGACTTGCTGTAGAGGACAGAAATCATCAGCCAAACAATATGCTCACTTTTTTGAAAATATCAACAAAAATACCAGGCACAGTGTTTCGTGCCTATACACCTTTTAGTGGGTTTGCTGCAGAGTCACAGGGGGTCAGCAACTATGCCCAGTACTATAGAAGAAAGGAGACTCAGGACCATCTGAGAACATCACTTTGCCTCAGTGACAGCCACCCCTGATTCCTTTCTTTCTTACTCCTCTTCAGAACTTCTTGCTCAGATAACATGAATCTTTATGAGTCAATCCTGGATGGTGGAAACTTACTGTTTAAGGCTCAGAATCAACACATCTTTTTCCTCTTTCATAGTCACACCCTGTCACAGAAGGTATCTCAGCATGTGGGAAGATGTTCCCTAACCGCCCACTGCACCTAGGAGATGCAGGGACAGTAAACTCCTGCAAGAAGGCCCACAGGAGACTTCTCTGACTCTTTTCTTTGAGATTCATTTCCCTGGTGGTGATGCCCATACATACTGTAGCAGTGGGGAGCTGGGCAGCACTGGGCTCCCCTTTAGGGCACAGTTTGGCCCTGAATCCACTGAACCACAGCACAGCTCCCCTTACCTCCCTGGGATCTCAGGATAATCTCAGCCCTCAGGATGGAAGATACAGAGCCAGGTACTCAATACTGCACACAGAGAAGAATTAACCTTAGGTATTATTAAGGCTGGGCACAAATGTTACCCCACGTATAGAACTTCCAGTAAGGGAACACAAACTTATTGTAAAATGCCTCAGGACTCACATGAAAAGCCAGAGTTGAGCACCTCCCAGAGGACCAGGCCCAGCCCACCACCCACCTTCTTGTGGGGCCTTGTTCTCACCAGGATACAGACAGTCGATAGTGAAGACATGAAAAGACACCTGCAGAGCATGTGTATGAGGCAGAGGTGGGGCAGGGTGTGATGGGTGTTTTCACAGTAGTTGGGGAGGACACAGGAGTCTCCATGAAGCAGGTGATGTCATAACAAAGGCCTGAGATGTTGGTAACTTGCAGCCCAGGGCCCACAGAGGGCTCAGCAAAGGGACAGTACTCAGTGAAGGCCCTGAGTCTAAGTAACCTTCTGCCCAGAAAAGGAAATAAGCCTGTGTAACTAAGGTGAATGAGCAGAGGAACTTCAAGAGATAAGAGCAGAGGCCCTGAAGAAGCAAAGCCACCAGGACCCAAGTCTTCCCACATATTTTCTCCAAGCATAAAGAGCATTGTAGATGCTAATTTTCTTGCCCATCTGGAAAAAAAATCATTTTCTTTTTAAATATAAAACTTAGCAATGTTGTAATATATTATACACTTTCAATATATGTGAAGGTGTCCAGTGAAGCCCCCAAGTATAGGATTACCCTACCTGAGATGCTGAGGACCAGAGCAGGAGGCTACTGGGGAGCTCAGGAGGTCACATGTGGACCATGAAGTTGGAAGGGCCTTTGAGACAATCCAGCATGGTCTTGAGAAAACAATAGGATACAGGACTCTAGGGTTCATTGGAGAGGTCTCTAGAGGAAATGGAGACTTGAATGGTATCAAAGACAAGAAAGAAATAAGGAGACACAGTGGGCACAGGGTGAGAAAATGTGCAAGCTTTACTGGGAGACTCCATCACATTCAGAGAACAGGGTGTGGGGTCCATCAGCAGAGGCATTGCCAAGGTGATCAGGAGAGAGACACAATGAGAGCAAGGACATTTTTAAGATAGGTAGGATGTCCTCAGAGCTAAGAAAAAAAGAGCCATCCCCTGGGCGATATGCTACTGACAGAAAAGAGATATAAAGAAAAGACATTTAAAATGGATTTACAAGTAGAGAGATCACAGAAGACTGTGAAAATTAAACCAGCAGATTAGGGTGGGTGAGAAAACTTGATTGGAAGAGGTAACTCCAGAATTAAATGATAGTGTATAAACAAGTTTTCAGCAGGTAAACATAGTCTGAAAAGGGGGTTATCTGTTACAGGGAGAAATGTAATTAATAGAGTATTTTATTTCTTAGAGACAGAAAAATAGAAAGCAAAAGAAGTCTTGTGTGTGTGTGTGTGTGTGTGTGTGTGTGTGTGTGTGTGTGTGTAAATGCTCAAAATTAGTGTCTTTTGGATAATGACCACAATAATTCTGTTGTGGGAAAATTCATTGTACAGAGAGGAAAGATGACATTCTGTCTTCAGACTGATTGGAAGGGGGACTGGCAGAGGCATGATTGCAGTGTTAGCTACACCCAGAGGCAAAGACACATCCAATTCAGGCCACAGTGAGTGAGGACATAGGCCTTGAGAGAGATGAGAATTGGACAAAGTCTCTTTCCTTTACTGAAGGCAGGAACAATCCACCCTCTTTCAACTGCTCTGACATTTAACACACAATACTTCCTCTCTATTCACCAAAATGCACATGTGGTTTTTCCAGTAATGACCAGTTCTCTGACAGACTTCTCCATGGTATCTCATGGTTCCTGAAACTCCCTTTTTGAGTTCAATTTATCTTTAGCATGGCTCTTCCATCTGTCTGTTTCTTGGTAACCTGTGTCATTTTTCTTTATAGCAATTATGCCAACAAAAGTACAATATTTCTTTGAGGGTTGTGAACCACTATAAATATTAACAGGGCCTGAGCAGGGGGTCCCATGTGCCTCATGTGACTGTCAAAAGTGGGGGCAGCATTATCAGAAAATGCTCTCAGCCTGGGGGATCTGTTGCTTTCTTTAGGTTATGACTGCCAGGTATTAATATAATTATAGAATGATAATTTTGCAGGTGACATGGACAGCTTTTGTTGATGGGGAGAAATCCCCACACATTTAGGTGGCTGGGGGTGAGGAATTCTTTGGTGAGTAGCCACTCATTGTGTGTGACAAAAAGAAAAAAAAATTGAATATCTTTTTTATCTCATACACTTCCTACATAACATCACAATCCAGGAAAAGGGAGGAGGGTGACACTCAACACCATGAGTTCAGTCATTTCCAAAGGGAGTGTATCCACTGCTGGATAAAGAAGCTATCCTGCTACTCCAATAATTTTAAAACACACAAGTCTCTTAAATTTTTTTATATTGCTTTTTACATTGTATTATATATTTTTTGTATTGCATATTGTATGTAATCTAGAGATGTTTTAAAGCATATAGGAGAATGTATGTAGGTTATATGCAAATGTCATTCCATTTTGTATGAAGGACTTAAGCAATCTGCATATTTGAGTATCCTCAGGAGAGGGAAGTCCTAGAACTGGTTCTCCAAAGATACTAAGGGATGACTGCATATATTATTGAGTATGGTCAATAAATGAGTCTTTTAATCTCATCTAATGATAGATGATAGTAGAATATGTAAATTAATGAAGAAAATTTGATAGGTAAATATTCTTTTGATTTTAATTCACCCTTTCTTTTAAATAAACTCATTTTACAAATGAAAAAATAATAAAAATACACAAGCCTCAAAGACAGTAGTTTTGCAATTGTTTTCCTCACCTCTAGTCTGTTTCCTTACTCCACCTGAGTTCTTGCTCATTTTGCTTCCCTCTCCTCTCCTGCTGTTCTCCTTTTTTCCCCCTCTAATCCATTTCTCCACTTGATCTTTCCCATTCCTGCAACTCCCTTCACCTCTTGTCAGTCTTTATCCTCACTCTCCTGATTGCTCTCAATCTCCATATTTTTCTGCCTCTTTTTTCCTCTCCCTCTGCTCTGCCTGCTACAGGTCCCTGGCCCCATGCTCTGGACACCCACATCCCAATTGTCCTACTGAAGTGCTCCTTCCTGTGATCCTCTTATTATCTGCTACCCATCTTCTTGTCCCTGCACCACAGTTGCTGTGTATTATTCATACTGGTAATACATCCTCTCCCCCCTCTCTCTTGAGATTTCTCCCCTTTTCTGTCCCTTTTATATGTGGCTATCCCTTACCTCTCTGGAGACTGACATTCCACATTTCTTCATTTGCTTTTTCCTCTGCTGCTTTCTGGCTGCTTCTTTTACTCTCATATTCTCTCTCTCTTTGCAACTCCCTCACTATCTTCTACCTTGCCATCTCTGTAAGGGCCTCTTTCTCTATGTTTCCATTTCTCTTATTTGCAGTCCATATCTTTCTACTGAGCCCTCTGCACATACATCATGGAGAAGGGATTGACTGAAAAGCCCACCTCCAGGGGGAGCACTTTCTCTGCTGCAGTGGAATCTAGGGCAAGAGAACCCTGAAAATCTCATGTCACAGAAGGCCATCAACAGTTTTTTCTCTATTTTTTCTATGCTCAGAGAATGTGCCACAGTTGGTCCAATCCATCCTCTTAGTGATAGGAACTGGCATTTCTCCTCCAAGGAAGCTGGGATAGCCTTGCACCAAATAATCCCAGATGACATTCCATGCTGCCTATGACATCTTTTTAAACTCTATGCCTAAAATTAAGAAAATCTTTATTTTTCTGAATCTAATCTTCTTGGCCTAGGACTCAGCAGTCAAAATGCTGGATGACAGAGTTTTGCCCTTCTCTTTGCCCAAGGAAATAATAAAAAATATAGCCTTCTTGTAGGTGCTGATTCTTCCATCTTGAGACAGATCTCATCCCAGTGCTTACAAAACGATTGACCAATTTCCAGATCTTTTATTGTTCTTTCAGGCAAAAGAAAAAAAAAAGGTACAGGCAGAAAAGCCACATGTCAGCTCATCCTGTTTCTTGCAATCAGAAATAAACAACTGGGCTTGGGCTGTACCTCAGCAGTAGCTCTCATCTAGCATGTGCAAGGCCGAGGGTTCGATCCTTAGCACTATATAAAAATAAATAAAATAAAGGACATGTAGCTTCTTCTGCTTCTTATTCCTTGCTCATGCTTACCTGCGTTTGAGTTATTTGCAACAATTGGCATAATCGGCAGGATTAGGTCCTCTGGTTTGGTCCCACCCCAGGCACCAGGCAGGCTCCATATCTCCTAACTTTCCAGTAGTTAGCTCTCAAAAAGTTAATCCTCTGCATGCAGTTGTTTGGAGTGTTAGGCTTCCCCAAGAAAGCAGAGCAGGGGCTCCTCCAGAGTCCCCTCTGTGGTATCAAAATTTATAACTGAAAGTTCGGTTCCTGTTTTCAAAGACAATTAATGTCAATTTAATAATGAGGACAGGGTTTGGGGAAAAAGAAAAAGGGACTTATCAAAGTTCTTAGATCCACAGCAGGCATTTCCTTCTGCAGTTGGTACTACGCGTCTCCCAGCTCTCAAGAAAACCTGTTGAATTTGTTGAATATCTTGATCTGTATATTGAGCCTGTTCTCTTAAGGCATGGTTACTACCTTCCCCCATTAACTTTTCCTCCATAGGACCAGGGGGACTTTGAGTCTCATTCTCTTGAGCTTGTTTCAGTGCCTCATCTTCCCACCAACTTCTCAATAGCAACCACTGAGATCCTTTCAAAACTGTTTTTGCTAATGCCTCC